CATTACTGTGCTCATAGTGTATTGCCTTTGAAATTAGAAATGATTTATAGATTAAATTGAAATCTTGTTATAAAAGAAATTTTTTTATTCATGTATAATCATAATAATTTGTATGAATAATCAGTTCTGATCTCTACTGTCTTCACACACAGGGTAGTAAAGGAGATTTTGGCCCTAAGGGTGAACCAGGCCCCCCTGGCATCCCAGGTGTCCAAGGTGACAGAGGTACCCCAGGACCCCAAGGACCAAAGGGACATACTGTAAGTCAAGTGTACGCATTCTATGTAATTTGGTGAATATAGAAAGTAAATAAAAGAAATATATGGGGTTTTTTTTTCACTCTCCAAAAAATAACTTATTTCAATAATTATATTGATGTTAAAGTGAATTGATTATGCAGAAAATTAGAGGAAGATCGGAGGAGTATTCAAGGATGGGTGCTTCCCTTGCTATTATACTAACTTTTAGAGAACTATGATGGTAGCCAGGCCTTTCTTTATCATGACAACATGGTCCAGCTTTTTAATACAGAGTATGCCAAATACAGTAATTAAATGATGATGAATTATAGCTTTATCAAGGCAAATGTAACACTTATCTGTTTAAATATCATGATTCTATTTAGATTAATTATCTAATCTTGAGTCTTGATTGGATATGGTAATCATGTTAATACTTCTTTTTCATTTATAGGGTCCGATAGGTTTCCAAGGAGAACCAGGTGAACCAGGCACCCCAGGTATTCCTGTAAGTACACTATTATTACTACTATTATTATTATTATTATTATTTTTATTATTATTATTATTATTATTATTATTATTATTGTTATTATTTTTATTATTACACATAAGACATGTTCACCTGTACGAAAGATAGGTGGTAGTAATTAATTGTGTAATGAATTTGCAATTTCAATGTTGTAATAACAAATGGCATTAAAGTGAACTTGTAATTTGTCGACAAATTTAATGTTTCAATCTATGTTTTTTGTATTTCAGGGACAAGATGGTGTAGCAGGACCTGTTGGCGATCGTGGTCCACCAGGACAACTTGTGAGTTTATAAAAATACAGTGTACTAAATTTTAAAAGGAACTTATGTTTAAAGAAGACAATTAAGCAGGACATCAATTAATTAAGCAGTTTAAAAACCAAAATCCATTGAAGCATATGCTTGTCTTCTAAAACTCTGTTTCACTATAAAATTTTATGTGATGAACTTGTGTGGTGTGCCCATATATGGTCATTATGATGTCATAACACATGCAAGTATGGGCACATAACATTTGTTGGTGTAAATAGAGCTTTAGACAAATTTAAAACTTAAAAAAAGCCTCCGTTCACATTGGATTAATTTTGACAAAGGCCTTGGTCAAATTTTACCTCTGTTCACACATGGATTTAAGTACTGTATGCCGTAGATTTTAAGTTAGGACTTTTGCACATGCATGATCAACTTAATTGTGGATATTTTCTGTGAAAGTTCAGCAATGCGCACATTACTAGCTAGCCTGGGTTGCAGGCCCTTATTTTGGGTTACTCACTCTTTATCGCGCTTAATGCACGCCATACCTGATTTTAATTGGCGTCCCATACTCGATTCTAAATTTACTTGCTCATTGGTGGCACTGTTCAGAATGAGAAAGAAAGATAATAAGGGACCTGTGGCAATTGTAATTATTAGCAGAATCTCAGCAAGATTTAACTGAGTTTCACTGTTTGCTTTGGACTTTCCAGCTTGGGTTATTTCTCAAGGTGCTCAAGGCAACATTTTCTCATTTTGAAATTACTATGCAACTTGAGTAATTTGACCAAGAAAATGCCAGGGGTTTGCCAGAAATCCTTCAGCCTCACACATACACTTACAGTGCAATTGCATAATTATAGAGATATTGAATTTTTTTTTTCTAGGGTCGACGTGGATTGCAAGGAGATATTGGTGCACCAGGTCCTAGGGGTAGAGCTGTAAGTAACTTTTATTTGAATTTTATAACTTTTGGGGTAATTGTACACCGTGAGATGATGGATGGCCTGTTTCGAGTTCTCAAATAGCTTAGAATTTGAAGGCATAATGATAGTGCTGTCTGTGTTTGCATTCAAGAAAAGCCAAAAAAAAAAATTGGAATGTGTATAGAGACAAGTAATTGAGCGGTCACAACGCCAAGTTCATAGGCGGCCCACTTGGAAAAAATGAAGTGGCTAGGATTATGAGTATTGAGATTTAAAAAATGAACTTAAACATGATTTAAAAGATTACAAAGATTTGGAGTCATTTGACATCAGGTTGTGAATGCAGAGGGGTGGACGCAGAATGAATGTAAGAATCAATGCTGCTGTTTTAGAATCTATTTTACTACTGTTAAGTGGTTCCTAATTTATTATGCATTTCACAAACAGATTTGATAGCCAAATTCTGGATTTTCTCATCAATTCTTTTTTATCAGTTTACACCTGATTATTTTACCTACAGGGTACACCTGGCAAAGATGGTGTCATAGGCCAGAAAGGAGAGAAGGGAGAATATGGTGACAAGGGGGCATCTGGTCCACGTGGTGACCCAGGACCAGGTGGGCCAATCGTAAGCCATAATAATTTTTTACATGTTTTATACATACATACATTAATATCATACATACATTATTATTATAAATTTTATTTTAATTGTTATTATTTCTATATCTCCCATGTATTTTTAAAATACAGATTGCATTTGTTTCCATTTCCATGGATGAATAAAGATAATATTTCACTGTATTATATTGTAAGGACGTTGAAAATTTCTATTAAATATAAATTCTCAAAACAACAAATATTTTACCCTTTCTTTTTTATTATAACTAATTTTTGTTGGCATTTTTACTATGCATTTATATGTTTGTGTTTGTTTATTCATACAGTTAATTGGATACGTTTTCAGCACTGTTATCCCAAAGAAACAAATTTCAGTTTAGAAGCTTAATAAAAACTATATGAAGCCAAGCATCAGTAGATGTACAAGTATAAGAATCAACAAATAAAAAACAAACTACAGAAAAGAACGTCAATTACATTTAGATATGAAGTGGAAGGAAAGGCAAACCATAATATTAATGTGTAACAAAATGATGAAATGATAATACAGTAACTACAAAATAATAATTACAGGTACTAATTTATTATTATTATTTATATACTGATGCTTGTCTTTGTTTTTGTAGGGTGCACCAGGGCCACAGGGTTCAAAGGGCCCAAGAGGCATGCCTGGAGAGGCGGTAAGATGATCAGAGACATTGGTAGGCCTTGGACAGATTACCAGAATTATATGAATTTATTCAGTTTTTTTAATGAATCGTCTCATAAACAAATATGCAGTTAATAACCATAATTGTTTTAAATAATTTTAGGGTGAGGCCGGAGATCAGGGACCACCAGGAATCCAAGGACCACCAGGACCAGAAGTAAGTTGTCATCAGTTGGCCTAATCAGTGCAATCACATTTTCCTCCTTTTCCTCCTGAAGCATAAAACCGTAACCCCAGCAAACACGAAACATTATTATAATATACGTTGTGAATTGCAGTTAGGTTATGTAACGTTGTGGCACCATTTTAAATGTTGTGTTGTCATAATTTGGTAAGGTATTTATGGTTTTAAAAAAAAAACGTTTTGGTACTTAACTGCAATGTTAATATTGTATAAACATTATTATAATGTAAAATTGTTAGCTGGGATATGTTATATACACTCTCTGCAGAAAAATTGTTGCCCACTTTCAAATCTCCCACTGTTGACCACAAAATAATTTTATAATTTAACTTTCTACTAATTGGAACTAGCATCATGTCAAGTAGAAATTATGTCTGCTGTTAAACTAGGACATAGCTTACAGTGTGTTAGGCCTATATGGTACTAATATAACACAAAACTGTCATTTAGGTACAGAATTATAAGCTTTGTTGAGGTGACAATAGAAATTATTTAAGACCATGTAATTTTAGATTGTTGAGAATCTTAATTCTGGTCTATGGTTTACACCATTTTATTTATTTATTTTATTTTTTTTTTTTTTTTAATTGTTTTTACTTTTTTTTTTTTTTTAATTTTAATTTTTTTTTTTTTTTTTTAATTTATTGAAATATCTGGTTTTGGGGAAAGAGATCTGGTTTTGGGCAAAACATCTTGATTATTTTTTTAATTATCATCCTTATTAGATAGATATCTTATGAATCTGTTCATAGAAATTATTTTGTTTTTACTTTTACTATTATTATCATAATTATTATTAAATCTAGGGTCAAATTGGTGAGCGTGGTGTTGCTGGAGTCACTGGAGAGATTGGACAAAAGGTAAATTATTGGGTCTTTCATATCCTTCAATATCACTAAAATTCATATTATGTTATTCAAATGGGATAAATTATATTGTAGTTGATAATTAATTTTACGAATGGTATTGATATATATATATATTTAATATTTGTAATGATAATTATAAAACCATATTTTAATTTTTGCTAATTCTGCGAAGGGTCATGTTGGATTGATGGGATTAAACGGACCCGATGGACCAGCAGGTGAAAAGGGAGAGAAAGGAGATCCAGGTTTAAGAGGACCCACTGGTCCAACTGGTGAAATGGTGAGCAAATAATCAGTCATTCAACAATTATTAATTCATATATATTACTTATTAATAGGAATTCAGGAACTCACAAATATAACAGATATTCTTGACATAAATAAATTAAATTATGAAGAATTATTGGTCGGGAGACTCTCATTAAGGCTAAAATAAGCCGCTACCATGAGAGATAAATAAATGTATTGATTACTCATACAATTGTAAATGTCTTTATAGATTGTAATATGCAGTATAACAGAAAATCATTTAAAAAAAATAATAAAATAATAATAAAATAGAATATGCACTCTAATTATCATTATCATTACATACTTAACAGTTAGCAATATAAAAATATTCATTGTATTCTCCAATGAATAATATTATTTAGTAATCTATATTTTTTTTAAATCTTTATTTGATATTGTAGATTATTATATTACATTTTTAAAATTTAGTCATGTATAACACTAATAATCATCTTACAAATATATGAATAGATTTACTATATATAATGTGATATATATCTTCTATGAAATATGTATTAAGCAGTTATGGAACATTTTAAATAATATATATAATGTGCAAATTTTAATTTAATGATTGTATACTGTTAGGGACCAGAGGGCCCAAGAGGACCAATGGGACCATCCGGAGCTCATGGTCTTCCAGTAAGTACATAAAAAACATTATTTCTGTGAGTAGCTGGTAATCAAATAAGTAGGTGATTGCCATACTCTATATTCCATTTGCTTTAGTTCAAACTTTCAACCTTTTAGCAGGGAATGATGATACTTCTTTGGGGAGCACTATTGAACATTTTTATACATATGAAACAAGGGGCGTAACTGGGGATTTTGTTCTGAGCTTGTGTCGTTTATATTAGTATTCAACATGAACATAAACACTAATAACATATCTACTTTGTATAATTTATACTTATTGACTCATCTCTGAAAAAAAAGAAGCACTATATAATTTTTTCTTGGCTCTTTTTAGGCCCCACCCTTTAGTTCAGTGGCCTGGGAACATGCCTTGTAGTTAAATGTTTTAAGTCTACTTTTTGTTCCTATACTGAGATGGATTTATGCAATGAGCGTTTGTGTGTTACACTGAGTCTATAAACAAGCATTCTCAAAAACAGTACATATACATTCCCTTGGTTCTGAATTTTGGTGTTGAAAAGGTTTGTTAGTGTTATTGATACTTACTTTAGTTATTAACCTAATCTGCAGAGATGCGAGGAACTTTAACAAACTTACTCATTTATCTTTATTTTTCCTGACAGCTTTTATGAAATTGTGTTTTTATTTTGTTCTATTTATTGCCAAAAATAATTTTATAATTAGAAACAATATGTTAAAATTTAGACTACCATGTTCTTTTAGGGTCAAGAAGGAAGACTCGGTCCAAAGGGAGATAAGGGAGATTCCGGCTTGAAGGGAGAAGTTGGTCCAGCTGTAAGTAAAAGTATTATGTTTTACGTTTATTTTAAGTAAACACTCCAAAATTCATCATTTTGATGGGTTTTTTTATGCAAAAGGAGGAGGGAGGAGGTGGTATGATATATCAAGGGAGGTCCTTCCAGACACCCTCTCCCCTCCACTACTTTATGGCCTGTTATTTGAAAGTTTACTGGAGTCCTCACAGCTACCCATTTTCGCGTCGCACATTTAGGTAGCTACCACTACTTACTACTGTAAGTAGTGGTAGCTTTTACCACGAAGAAACAGGAATTCCGAACTAAGCAATGCGCATACACATTTACCAAATAACGTCCGTGAATTATCTATAAAAACACAGTGAGCATGCGCTTGGAAATGCTAGAAACCAGTTACTGTAGCATGTGCATTGGGTAAGTGACGTTATCGAGCCATGTCGAAAAGACTTCTCAGGAACCAAATAGCGGCTGCGAAGACGTCTCAGGAACCAAATAGCGGCTGCGAAGAGGGTATGATTACCAAAAAATCGTCTTAGGAACCAAACAACGGCTGCGAAAAGGGTATGAACTAGAAACGGGAAAACTATATATGTTATGGATGGAAAATAATGCGGGCGGGTCGAAGGCCTCTATTTTGGCTATATTTACAGCCAGTTCATCAGTGTTCGTCAGGGGGAATTGTAATTGAATTATTGAAAAAAAAGGCTCTATCGTCGTACCTACGTACGTAGACCTATGCATTGACAATCCCATAAAAAATTACCACAGAAACTGACGACACAACCTAGGGCCTTCTACTAGCCAAGTAGTAGAGCCAGGTTATTCCACATTTAATGTCGAAAAATACGGTGCTTTACGCTGAAGAGGGTTAGATATCGTACGGTACCCATCTTTTATCCACCCATAAAAAATAGCCACACACTGGCGGCAGTAGTAGAAAGGCCTAGCCAAGCTAGTGGGGGAGGGAAATGAATACAAATAAATAAAATAATATTAAAATTAATATTATTGTTATTATTAATATTAATAACAATAATGGTAAAAATGCGGTCTGGCTCAGAGGTTTTCATTCTGGTGGTTGAACTTGTAGTCAGCAGGAGTACAAACAAATACGAACAGTAACAGACCCCATGGATGGCAAATCGAACAAGGGAAAACAACGTAAAAGATTAAGAGATGAGATCGATATTTATTCAGGAAGAATGAAATGGTGCAACATAGCAAGAGAAAAAGATTGATTTGGCGTCAACATCCTGAAACATTTGTCCAGCAGTGGACCGACAATAGCTGATGATGAAGCCTCTGAAGGTTATCAACGTGGTCGAGCTTGAGTCTAAGTGACAGCTTAATTAATCTACCATATGGGATTACAACCCAGACAAACACAGCCGCAGGAAGAATCTTAGATGACCCACACTTTGATAATTACATATTTGTTTTATCATTTTATTATTATTATTATTATATTATTTATTATTGCAACATCAATTTTATTTTTAAAATATTCTTTAATTCATATACAGTATTATGCATATTGCAGTAAAAAAAATAGGCCTATCCTTAACAATAAATAAGCATAGGGCTAATTTTTTTAACTATAGGAAAATACAGTTACAGATTTATTTATTGAAACAGCTAACTTTAATAAATACAATAACAACATTTACACATAGGATATTTATTTATTTATTTAACTTTTGTTTCAGTGGCACGGCTCAACAATTTGGTGCGTTCAATGAGAAAGAAAAACAACTAAACTAAAAGAAACTAAAAGTTATACAAAACAATTTTTCAATAACAGTATACAGTACTGTATTGGTGTTAAAGCAAAATCCACTAAATAAGAAAGAACATTACTGTAGTAATACTAATTTATTTTAAAAAGTTAACAAATAATTACGTTAATAAGATACAGATAAGCACATTTAAAAAAAAAAATCGGAAGTAACTGTATACACAAAATAAATAAGCTACAGAAGCTGCAGCATTTTTTTTTTTGTAGGAAATATTTCTTGTTATGTTTTCTGTGGTTACGTAAAAGTCCTTGAATGGACCTTTTCGCTAAGCTCCGCCCCTTGGATATTGTTGCTAAGGTCCCACAAAACATGTGCGTTTGTGGGACAACATGTGTGTTTGTAAGACACACGTATTCATGGCCGTGTTCTGATTGGTCAGTTGTTGAGTTTGACACTCTGGACCGGTCTATTCTCAAGCATATTAGGACGCTTTCAATTGCACGACGACGGTAGGACGTAGAACGTAATGACGTCAGTAAAAGTCATCTGCACATGCGAGAACGTTAAGGTCACCTCGTCGAGTAGATTCTGGAACGCAATTTGGCCAAATGTACGTATGCAGAGAATGTAGGATGCCAGGTAGGATGGTCACGCATGAGTGATTACGTTCTAGCGTCGCGTTGTCGCACAAATCGAAAGCCCCCTATTATTGTGTCCTTAAAACTTTGCCAAAAAAAAAAAACCAACAATGTTCAGTAATAATATAATATTTTTTGTGTATGCTTCTGTATGTTTTTTTTTTTTTTTTTTTTGTATTATGAGATGGAAAAATCTGCATAAAACCTCTGCCAATATAACAATTCTTTTGGTTACAGTTTTCTAAAAGCAACCTTAAAACTTGAAACTAATTGCTTATAGACCAATAAAAATGTAACTTTTACAATTTAATTTGATTTTTTTGGAATTTTTCTTCTTTTTATAGGGACCACCAGGATTACCGGTAAGTAGACATTTTAATTTCAATATCAATTTATTTGTCGTCGTTCTTTGATTTACTGATACTGTTAATCCCTCTGCTTCTTGACACATTACAAATGACTTTACAGGTATAATGTTTAATTAATCATTTCATTAAATATATTAAATATACATATTTTATAACTATTTATTATTTATAATTTTTGTTTCTATATAGGGTGTTGGTACATCAATGGAGGTTGGTATTTTTTTAAACAATTATAAAATTATCAAGATTAAGTTTGATTGTTGTAAAAATATTTAACATACTATAATTTATATATATATATTTATTAAATGATACACAATATATGTATATGCTTGATCATAAATTGTTTCCATATTCAAAACATTCAACTAAATGTTGATCTATTTATTATTATGTACTGTTTACATAATTTCCAGGCATTTAATTTGTTAAAAAACCGGGCAATTTTTCCAGCCATACACGCTAACGTAGTGGTATATAAAATCAAATCGTGTAATAGGTCAAAAATTTGCCCTTGGTATCTGTATTATGTTCCTCGACTTCGTCTCATATTACAGCCTCCAGATCACCTCAAGCTATATTTTGAAATATGCCCCTCAATCCAGTAAATATTTGTATTTTATACTAGTTTATTTTAAGTATTAGTGTTTTCTTTAACATTATTGTCTGTATTATAGAGCTTGCAAGACCTTATTGAACGTGGAATTGTGTCACCTGGTCCAAGCTACGGCCAATTCAATCCCGGTGGAACAGGAGGAAGCGTGTACCGTGGAAGCCAATACCCGGGAAGTACGTACCCAGGAGGTAGTGTGGGTTTCCCCGGTGGCACTGGCACTGGTAGTGATGGTAATGTCGCTGGCGACCAAGGAAAAGTAACACCAACACCAAAATCTATTATCGACCAGATATTATCGACGCTCACTACAAAACCATTCCGCTACGAATCATCTTCAAGTACATATTCATCGGCATCCGGTCCTTCGCAGTCATTGACTGGCAGCGTCAAGCGACGTAGGAGAAGTATCAATGCTTTGAACGAAACGAATGAAGCAATATCGGAAGGAGATGATAGTGATTACTTCTCTGAATCAGACTTTGAGGCATTGCCACCATTGTACAGGCAAGCTCTTGAGCAGATGTTTGGATCGCTTGAGGAGCTTCAAAGAGATTTAGAAAGGATGAAGCAACCAGTTGGATCAAGAGATAATCCAGCAAGAACATGTAAAGATCTCTTCATGTGTCATCCTGACTTTGAGGATGGTAGGTTAAAGGTCACAAAGAAAAACCATTTGGAATGTAGGAATACATTAGATGATACAATTTATTCCAATTTTTTAAAATTTCCATTTTAATGAATATTTATGCCCTACATCAGCAGCCAAATGAGTTGATCCGAGTCATCATGATCTTTTCCATCTGACTATTTGCTGCCATATATGGAGAGTTACAAGAACATCAACAAATTATATTATTAGTTATTGTTTAGTATAGGCTTTCACAAGTTTTTGGCCTCGATTTTTAGTTGGGGTTACCATACAGAGTTGCGTTATACACAGATACGGTAAGTTATTGTAATTCGGTTATTGAATCCATCTTTGCAGTGTAAGAACCAAATTGGCCCTCGGTTGTCATAAATAATTATATTAATAAAGTGTTGTGTATTTTATCATTCTTTTCTAGGTTACTATTGGATTGATCCTAATCAAGGTGTTGCTAGAGATGCTATTTATGTTTTCTGTAATTTCACTGCTGGGGGTGAAACCTGCGTCACTCCTGATCCAGATACTGCTGAGGTAAGACTCTAAATTAATTGCAGTTGGTGACTAGTAAAGATGATGAAGAATACAAGTGCTTGAGTTACTTCAACTCTTAGTAATGAATTGCACAAACGGCAATCAATTACCTATGGTCCATGCAAATGGAGCGATCGTATCAAGGTGGTTTTGGAGTGTTTTCTTACCTTTTGTGAAGAAGCTGTGAATTTTAGCCATTTTTATCTCTTGCCTAAACTATTTCACACTTGGTTAATTAATTTTTGGCTGCTGACGGGGGGTATTTGGGGGGGGGGAGAGGAAGCACCCATTTTGCTGCCACCTGGATCCCCCCGATTTTTGATTTCTTAATCAACATATCTTTTGAAGCTAACTGACATGTATATCAGTCTCTCTATCCATAGAGATTTTATACCTGCATGACTATCTGTAATGAGTAGAACTAACTAAATTATTATTATATAATTCATATATGTCTGTTTTTTAGTGGATATGTTCACTGTTTTCCATATGTAACCATATAGATACAGTGAGGGAGTGTAAATTAAATTTTCTTTCCAGAATTCTAAAAATATGTTTTTTCGGTTTTTGTTCTTTCTTTATATTTATCTCACAGCTACCAGTTGGATTCCATGATGTCGATTCGGTATACATTGCAAATTTTATATATATATATATATATTGTTCAGTGAATTCTCAGTTGTTCTTTGTTGGATCTCGAAACTACCTCTTCTTTATATAACATGTCATTCCATAATATGCCATAGCTTCTGAAACAAACTTGGCAAGCTCTTTTTATTTCGCAAACTTGAAACTTGAAATAAAATTATTTCTTTGAAATGAACTGTTCCCTTAAGCCCCGCCTATTGGATGTTGTTGCTAAACAAATGTCAACACATGTTCGTGGGACAAGCGAGTATTCCTGGTCTTTTTCTGATTGGGCAATTGTTAAATTTGATTGACAATCGAGAAAGGTTGATTGATCCCAAAATGAGCAAACAAAAGAGTTTGTAAACTATGGCATAATAACTCATATGAACCAGGGAAATTTCATCTATAATTTATCTTGTGTGTTTTCAAATATTAAACAATTTAGAAAGTTTAACTCAGAAATGTTTCGTCCTCGGTATTATTTATTCTCTATATTGGAAGCAATTGAGGCGCGGACTCTAAACCTTGTGGTCGGGGGTTCGAGCCTTCTCTGTGCAAGTCGCTTGTGTCATTGGGCAAGACACTTTATAAATTGGTACTGGCATATGATCCCTTCACAGTAAGGCACAGTCTGGCCCAAATGCTAATGATAAAGAGATGGGCACTCGGACCTGTACAGATTCAACCATCTTTTACCCTTTTCTCAAAACAGAACTGTTAGATGCAAAAGCTTAAAATAGGAATAACATTTTTTTTTGTAAGAGTAGGTTTGTTTAATCAATATTGTGTTATGTGTATTATATAAAGCTCATGAATATTTTTTGAAATTGAGATGATTAAATAGAAACCTAAATGAAAGTATAGATGCATATCTAATACCAGTATGTTTATTTTCATCTTTCTAGGCTAAACCTCGAGCTTACAAAAATGCCAAGCCGGGCCAGTTTTTCAGTGAGTTCCGTCAAGGATATCCAGTAAGTTATATATCAAATCTTTATTATTATTATTATTACTAATACTAGAATACTACAGTACTCGTAATTACTTTACAAATGAAAAGTAATAACTAGAGTATTACAGCACTGTATAAGAAGACTCATTTGCTATTTTAACTGTGACTTTTGTGCTGTAATATGAAAAAAGTATATATATATAGGAAGAATAAATGCATTATTATGTATATTGTTGAGGGTGGTGGTCAACAACAGGCATATCCACTGTCTAAATTCACAGGCCAAGAAACATTTGTTTAAAGTAACAAATAAACTGATAGACCATTAAATATGGTCCTAGTGTATGAGTTTTTCAGATATGTGACTTGTATTTTCATTCACTTCTGATTTTATTCTTTATGTAATGAAATCCTTATAGCAGCTTAGTCGGATAAACCGGTCAAAGATCACTCTGTGTATGGTGACCCATGGAGATCCTTGGGTCAGAGTTCAACCGCATCAGTTTGTGTTTTAGCCAGAGTGTCGACTTTCACACTACTGTACCTACTGTTGTATGAGTATACTCAAAAGTGTTTATGTTGCACAGAGAAATATAATGGGATGATGTTAAAATAATGAAAAGATGTTAAACTCCCAATCAATTTTTCTTTCCTCAGATTACCTATAGCAGAGTGGGCCAAGTTCAATTAACATTCTTGAGATTATTGAGCACGCGAGCAACGCAGAACTTCACGTATGAATGCAGTAAGAGTGCTGGATGGTATGATGCTCATGACGAAAGTTACAGCAAAGCCATCAAGCTTCTAGGTGCCAATGAAGAGGAGTTCGGCTATGACACTGACTACCAACCTACAATTCTAACGGATGAGTGTATGGTAAGTATTGTTTGCATATGAACTATACTGTGTTGTAAAATCTATAAGTTGTCTGGTATATAAAATCTTCTGGGTGAAAAAGTGTGCTATGAGTTTTATGTCATGTTTTTGCTTGACCTGCTCCCTATCATTTTTTTTAAATGTCAGTATCGCCATTGTTTGGGAATTTCTGATGAAACTCACCTTCCCTTTCTTCTTAGTAGCTGTTTCCCTCTGGTTCTCTAATATAATTTATTTCACTTTGATATTAGTAGTTATTATTTATGTTACTGATTAGCACTTATACAGCACTAGCTATACCATTATTATTATTTACAAATGAGGTAAAATCCTATGTGCGTCACAAGCAACTGCAGTTGGTGGGGTAGGGAGTAGATATCAAACATCATGTTTAACACAATGAACAAATTGTCCTGGAAAAACTACAGCAGCTGCAGTGTATTCCCTTCCCTATCCATATTTGTTATTGTTATATTCTCCCTCATCAAGTGACGTTACCAAATGCAAAAGAACTTTAAGTACAGTACCATTAACCCTGGTAGCTATCAAACATAATGTTTAACACAATGAACAAATTGTCCTGGAAAAACAAAATTCAATAGCTATTTAAATTTTCACCATATAATAATAATAATAATAATAATAATAATAACAACAATAACAATAATAATTTTGTGTCATTTCTTTTTCAATTTCAGAATAAACCCAAGAAGGGTAAAACAGTATTTGAAATTACAACAACAAAACTGCACCAGTTGCCTATAATTGACTTTGCAGCCATGGACTTTGGAACAAGCAGCAAACAATTCGGATACAAAGCTGGCCCAGTATGTTTTGCAGTTTAGTAATTAAGGAGCAGGTGCAGAGATTTTACATGTTTTATTTCCTCATGGTGCTATTTGTTGTATTTTTAAATTGATAATTAAACTTTTTTGGAACGATTATCATGACCGAAGTTTTTAATCCCTTGTAAAGCCCAACATTCTGTAGTAGCAACAGTATATTTTGCCGAGCTTTTTTCAGAAATACTGCTCAAGAACTATATAAATAGTATAATGGAATTTAAAGAAGACACCAAAAGTCGGGAATAACTGGAAATGGCACCTCATCAAGGTGTTCTACATGTGCTGCTAACTATCTAGCCATTTGTCGTTAATCTTCATTATCAACATTAGTACTATATCCAAGTAAATGCTATTTTTGATAAGTAAATTTCCATAGTAAACGTTTTGCCAGTGTGGGTTGTTGATAAGTGAAGGAGATAGTATATAAATGCAGGACTATATCCACATTTTGGTTGAATTTGGCAACATTGGACTTGAAAATTTGTATTATAGTTAAGGGAATGCTCTTATAGAAAATTAAGCATTATTTTTTAAGTAGTTATAGGAGATATACAGTAGTAGATTTGAGATTCCCCGTAATCTGCAGTGGTTATCTATATGTAGGAGGTAGTTTCCTTAACCCTTTTATTATTATAATAATTTCAAATTATAAATTCTTTAAACTAAAAAAAAATAAGTAAAAGATAATTTGTATACCCATAATACTCTTATGTGCTTTGTGGTTTCCTTGGTTGACTGTGGAAGTTATTGTCAAAGGAAACATTAATACTACTTTATTAACACCAGGGGTTCATAAGGTATAAAATACTGATGGTACCTACATGAATGAACCCCCGGTCAACCTGCACCAAAAAACAGTTTCACCGCCACCAAATATATGTTGCCTGCATATATTAACTTAACTTGGACCTGGCAAAATTCTTGACCAAATTACACCGAAACAGTACTACTACCTCACAGCAGAACTAAGGAAAGTTACCCTCCGTGCCCTGCTGATGGAGCCATACAAATTAAGAACGCATGTGTTGTTTTTATGCGCGTTTTATATTAAAAAAAAACCTGTGGATTTTGTTAAATTTTCATCCTATTGTTCTGTATAGATGTTTGGTACTGCTGAACGTTTGGTAGCACTGTGTGGAACAACTAGTGCAAGATGCAGTCTTTTGTTTATTTCGATATCACATCTCTCACTGTCTGTGTATAAACTGGCTGAATATTTTATGACAATAATACAGGGACATATTTATAAGCTAAATAGAACTATCGCAGTTTGTAGAGCTATCAATTTGTTTTGTGAAAAAAAAATAATGTGAATATCATTTACCATAATGCTGCAACGACATTACAGAATTAACCATCTATTGTACACAATATTTTCTTATATTCATTCTCATTCTTACAATAAATATTTCCCCCAACTTAAAATGATCATGTGTTGTCTGTTATTTTGTTGGTGATGAAGATGTTTGTTGATGGTGAAAATGCATTGACAGATCTGGGGGGGGGGGGGGGGGGGTCAGGGTTCAGGGGTCCTGACCCCACCCCCTTGAGCTGCCAAGCAAAAAAAAATCTAGACCTACCTTTTCAGAACCTGAGCAGAAAATACAAATCATCATGCAAAACTTACACTTATTATTATTATTATTTTTATTATTATTATTATTATTATTATTATTATATTTTATTTTCAAAAGTAAAGTGTTTTTCATGCCTATGGGCTCATCGATTCATTGAAAAAAGTATACGTATGCAACTATTTAATTTATTTTTCTGTATGTATGCACACATAATAAGCCTAGGCCTATTGACTGTAAAAAGAATGAGAAAATTTACCTGACCGTTTTCAAGAGTGGGAAAACGTTGAATTTTGAAGAACTTAAAAGTTATTAAAAGACACCTCAGAAGTCAGGAAAGCTCATTTCCCGCCTCTTTACGGCTGCTAGGTAGTCACGGACACGCCCATACGCAATTTAGCACAATGACGCTGCAAGTTATGGGTTATTCAAAATTTTCCCGGGAGAGGACCCCCGGATCCCCTTTCATTTTAGGGATTTGGAAACATTCCGACCCCCCCCCCCCTAAAATTAAACCCAGATCCGCCCCTGAGATGATACTTATGACGATGGTGAATGAGATGATGTTGACGATTATATTTGATGATGATGATGATGATAAACATGAGGATAGTGGTAGTGGTGTTGGTAAAGATGGTTTGATTTGACCATTATGGAGCGTGAATATTCCAGCTTATCCTAAAAGGTCAGTTGATAATCAGCAACATTAATAATGTGATTTGATGATAAACCAAGAGCAAGATGTTGTGGATAGTGATGTGAACATCTTCTTGTTGGTATCAACATCAATTTTAATTACCAAAATTATCTACTTGTCAGAAGGTATAGAAATCTACTGAGAATGACTGATCTCGGAAATAAACATTCCTAGAATAACATCTATCACTGATACTCTTCTTGGTCATAATAATTACAAATTCAAAGGAGATGTGGTAATATGGTACGGACGCTGAATAGGCTATAGACCACTTGGTTACATAATGTATCAGAGGTGGTGCCAGTTAAGTTAACCACAATTCGTCGAAGAGAAAAAAAGGGGTATACGTATTTTCAACATATCAGTAGACTGTAAAATCGATTAAATAAGCCCCCTAGAACTGTATCGAGAGATTTTGAGAGACAGCTGACCACGCCCATTTTTCTATCGTCTGGGATATCCCATCCCCGACTCCCCCAACCCCCCTACCCACTTTTCTATCGTCTGGGATATCCCATCCCCGACTCCCCCAACCCCTACCCCGTAATGTAATGTATACAGAAGGTATGGAAATGCCAAATCAACACAGGCATAACACCGACCCCATTTGCAGTAGGCCTACATTACGAGTATATAAATATACAGTACTGTACCTTATTTTAGATTGGCACGTGCATCTTTCCTGAAGATGCAGACAGTTACTGAACATGTTGCCAAAGGGACCGAAAGATTCCGATGTTGATTTTGTATATTCCAAAAGGATATGCCTGCCTTATTTGACGAGTGCGTATGTGACTTGTGTACAATTAAAACGCATGCAAAGGCTGTCTTAACGCACCTGTGAATGGTACGGGTGAAATTTACGATCAGCTGTGTACGGTGTAAATTCAGGCTCGTTACGCAGAATTCTGGGGAGGTGCAAATCAGTTTCACACGGTCGGGTACGGGGCCGTAGCCTCGTTGTGAGTCTTTCAGACATTTTAATACCATTTTTGACCGATTCAGAAGGTCTAGTATAAATGTTTGAATGGACGTTATTTCTAGAGCTATTCCGACAATGTAATGTGATTGCCCTTTACATTATGAATAGTATTCGCCGAGTTTTTAATCACATTTGAATGGTGCGGTTTCTTTCTTCCTGCAATGATTTAAGCTCAACGTTTGATTATATGTTTTGCATGCAAAAAGTTCAACATTCTTGCCTTTTTAAATGTATTTTATACCAACATTAATTTGTTCATTTGTTATTCGTTTTTCATTCATTTATTTAATCATTTATTCAATCAATCATCCATACATCCATCCATCATTAATTTATATTTAAGTTTGAGTAGCAGTACTACCAATACACTTTATGTATAAACTTTTTTTTGTAATTTAAACATTATACCTTTATAATAGTATTACTTTAATCCTAAATGTTGTAATGAACAAACAGTTTGTGTTTAAGACGATTTAATACAGTTTCAGTATTTACTAGTCCATGTTGTCATCTTCTATTCTCATGTGAAGTCTATTCGTTCTATACTTGTATTGTATTTATAATATCTGGAATAGAATAGAGTATATATAAACATATGTACATAAACATAACCTCTTGCCAACTTCGTTGGCGGAGGTAATTAAATAAAAATAGTGCTACCAAGCATCAAAATCCGGCCTGTGTTAAAGAAAGGTCTGCGTATTAACTTGAACCTGTTGATTTAAATCAGTGCCGCAGTGTATGTCGGTTAAGCAGGCTATTGATGTCAAGTTTTAAGGGCATTATAATTGTGACCTAATCGGAAAAGGCTTTCAAAATAAATGTTAAGTAGCAGAAATGTGATAGACTAGATACCATTAAAGGAAATAATCTACCCACACTCAGAGATCACTGACATGGAACATCTTCCTGGTCTCAGTACTTTCGGCGTGGCTCTAACCCACAATTTTTAGTTTTGCAATTCTTTTTTTATCGCCAGATATCTTAGTGAAAAAAAGAAATATTCAGTCTTAAAATATTGTCTGACAACCAAGGGTTTTTAGATGTTAAAGTCCTAGAGACAAACTCTTTAATATAAGTTGGCAGTTTGACTTTACGTGTCAATGAAGTGTCAATGTTACGTGTCAATGAAGTATTTTTTGTTTTTAAATGATTATGAATAATGTTCACATTACCCTTTAAAATCTTACTAAATCTGTCTGAATTATATTTACTATTAGTTAAATATCAACATCCACGATATATTTATGAAACACAACACAGGTACACGAAAGTTAAGTTTAGTTGTATTTCATGGGCTAAATTTATGGCTTTATACCAAGTGTTTAATATTTAAAAACAATTTTTAAAAATTGTTTCCCCACTCCTTGAAATCTGCTAACCAAACAAGTTGCACAAAAGCCCAGCTAATGATTTCTGACTAAACCACCACGTTGTGAACGTTGTATCAACGTTATTCGAGAATAGGGCCAACGGTATGGCGACGTTTATGAAATTTTGGTTTAAGTTACGTTTCCGTAAAGTTGACATTCGTTCGTGACGCGTTAGACATATGTTGCATTCGTTAGTTGTTCGTAGTGGGGGGGGGGGGTGTGCAGAGGTACGGTACGGTTATACCTCCATGGGTGCACGTTGGGTTTACGTTTTCTCTTTGTCTGTTGTTCGTCCAAATACGTCCAACGGGCCTCTTCTTCCTCCAGCGAAGATTTAAGCACCCCACTAAATTGTAAAAATAATTGTTGTATTTTATTGTTGTTAAGTTATGAGAGTGCAATTTCCGGGCACCTATAGACAGGCACCGTAGCAGGTGCCTCCTGCCTCCGACAGTTGTCGGGAAGGTTGGGGCTACGTTCAGACTTGGAGATAAGCCAGGCTTGTGTTAAGCCCGGCTTAACTTTGCCGGACGTTCAGACTAGCGGGTTTAGCCAGGAGAGAATTTGCATAATGAACCGTAACCAGGAAACGTGTTTCAAAACATTGCTTGCGAAACGTACGTTTCTCGGTCACAGTGTACGTAATTGAATGCTGATTGCTCATTTTGTTACCGGAAAGTCATGCAAGACCACCCCCGCAACGATTAATGCCCGGCTTAGAAAAGTTAAGCATGGTGGCACGCCAGGCCTTGTTACTATAGGAACACAGCCCGGCTTGAGATAAGCCACCTAGTTCAGACTGGCAGGTGGATAAACCCGGCGAGTTGAGCCGGTTTTATCCACCTAGTCTGAACTAGGCCTTTACCTGGATCAACTTTTCCGATTGCGTTGCAGACGCAGACGAATCAGGTTGCATTGGTAGCTGCCCTGCGCAATCGGGAAGGCACCCCGATTCGTCTGTGAACCACAACTGTCACGACTGTCGCCGCCGATAGGGTGAGCGATTCTATGGAAACCGAGCTAAAACTCTGGATCCGCGCCTGAGAAGTCCCTATTCTCAAAATTTTCTATTCCCTTAGCCCTAACCATTGTGGGGCAGTGAGGTAGGCCCTCACGCACCCCCTACCGCCAAATCCTGCATCCGACCCAGGTATTTTATACCAAAATGAATTTTTGTTTTTGTTATTCGTTCGTTCATTCATTCATTCATTCATTTATTTATCAATACATCCACCTATTTAGTCATTAATATAGGCCTATTTATATTAAAGTTTGATATAAACGTTTACTTAATACAAATAAGTATTACCAGTACCGCCAATACACTTTATGTAAAACCTAGGGGGCCGATCGAGACAACACTACTCTAGGGGGTATGGGTCTTTTCCCCTCGAAATTGTTGTTTTCTAGGCACCCGAAAATAACCTCTGACGCGTTTTGGGCAATCAATTATTTCTTTTCCCTTCCTTCTTTTTTTTAATTTTATTTTTTTTTCACTTTTCAAAATGGGGTTCGGGGCCGGCCCGGCCCCCTTTCTAAATCCGCCCCTGTTAAGTAAATATGCATAAAACTTCCTAGATTTTGAATCATTAGCAAATATTTGTGACAAGAGATCGATCTGGAATGACAAGTGGAAGTAAGACTTGTTAATAGTAAATCGCCCGCGGTTTGCAATACTTCTACTAGTCATATTATTCCATTTAACAGTGACATTTATATTTGTGTACCATTTATACATACAGCGCCACCAATCAGATTTAGTTGCTTGAATTATTTTTTTTGAAATACAGTATTACAACATGGGAAATTGCGTCAAATGCTCCTTAAGCGTCTAAACAACACGAGTAAACACTGAAGCCATGATTTACACAATAGTTAATAACATCACTAAAGGTGGCAGTGTCCATGGTGGTACTTCGACCACTAACAAATCCGAATTGCATTGGATCAAAGATCTTTGATAAGACATTGGAGACAATTATGGGCCTATAAATGCTTTTGAATATTAGGGATTAACGTATCTTCCTCAACAAAAAAAAATTGGAGCAATTCCATATCTAATACATAGGCCTATGTTAAATATTGCTGTCTTAGGAAGTTTAGATTTTACTCTGAGGTTAAGGTATTGAGCAGTAATTCCATCGGGGCCCGGAGCAGAATTATTGTACCTATATCTTATGAACGAGTCCGTATTTAAATAGTTGGAATTTCACGTTGAATCTTTCATGTTGTTCATTTTGGTAGTGAGCTCCTTCTGAGCGTCATTAATTGTTTGGGAACTATAATTATCTTTATCAACTTTAGACTCAAAGAAATCGGTGAGTGTTGAAATAGTGATGGCGTTTTCATTATCTTTATTTATTTATTCATATATTCATTCTGAAAGTAATCAATAGTATAGAAGCATTCAAATATAAAAACTCCGAAAAGTACAAAAAGCAACTTATTTCCACTGTGGTTCCTAAATGAGAATACTAAAATTATAGAATAATAATAGAACTATAAAAATGGAAACATTACAGTAAATTCATTTAAAATACTATATATAGACAAATTCAATTTTCAAGAATTAACATCATTAAAATTAAACAATACTATGAAGTTTAGATATATAATGGTTCTTAATAAGTTTTTTGAATGTGTATATGGATTGTGCATTTTGAACACTATAAGGTAATTGTTTCCATTAATCAATAACGGTATCAATGAATGTAAATCTACTATGCGTACCAGATGCTGGTTTATAAATTAACATTCTAACAGTAGAAAATCTAGATTATAGTTATGAAGTTGGTTAGTAAACTCAATACCATTGAAATATACAGAAGATATGCCATTTATTAATTTTGAAATTTCTACTAGAGTTCTGCAACTCTAGTAGAAACAGGTAACCAACTTAATTTATTACATTTTTAGAATCTTTCACTGTTTATATGTTTATAATAGTATTTCTTTAGTCCTAAATGTGCTGTAATGGACAAAACATAGTTTGTATTTAAGACGATTAATTACGGTTTCAGTATTTTCTAGTCCATGTTGTCATCTTCCATTTTCATGTGAAGTCCATTCGTGCTATACTTGTACTTGTTTTTATAATGTCTGAAATAAAGTCAAATTAATATATACATTAATTAATAATATAATAATATGTATGTGGGTGAGTGTGTGGGGGTGGATGTGTGCGTTTGTGTGGTGTAAAAACAATGAAAAGACGATGTACCGGTACAATCATTTATGGTTGATTTGCATAACAGAAATTTATTGAAATATAATAAAAGAGATATTGTCATGGGTAAAAAAAATCAATTTAAAAAACAATTACATAAAACAGTGCTACCAAGCCTGAAAATCGGGCCTGTGTTATTGACGAGATTCCTGCGCATTGACTTGAAACTGTTGATTTATATCGGTGGCGCAGTGTATGTTTGGTTTAGGCTACTGTGTAGATGTAAAGTTTAAGGGCAGATCTGATTTAACAATAGTCACCTTAAGGGAAAAGGCTGGTCATTTTCAATGGAAATGTGAAGTAGCATAAATGAAAAGAATGGAAAGGAAAAAGGAACATCGGATTCCCTATAATCTGCCCACACTCAGAGATCATTGACATGGATTTAGACATACAAAGATTTCACAAAGTCTTTACTATGTAATACAATACTGTACAGTTATTAAACATTGATTTTTTTTAACGTCTCAGTAATTTCGGCCCTAACCTAAATATTTAGTTACGCCATTCCTTTTTTATTGTATGATATCGGTGAAAAAAATGAAATATTCATTCTTAAAATATTATTTGACAACCAATGATTTTTATTTGTTAAAAGTCCTAGAGACAACACCCTAAATATATAAGTTGGCAGTTTGGCGTTACGAGCAAGTAAAGTAGATTTTTTAAAATGATTATGAATAATGTTCACATTACAACCAAGGATTTTTATCTGTTAAAAGTCCTAGAGACAACATCATAAAGGTAAGTTGGCATTTCAAACCAGTAAAGTTAATTTTAAAAAATGATTATTAATAATGTTCATATTACTCATTAAAAACTGATCAAATCTCGGTCTAAATTATATTAAATATTTGTTAAATATCAACACCCATAATATATTTATAAACCACAACACAAGTACACGCAAGTTAAATTTAGTTGTATTTAATGGGATTAAATGTATGGCTTTATACCAAGTATTTAATATAATCCTAGAAATTTGCTGGGCAAACAAATTGTACTAAAATGTATACGGTACCAAACTAATAATTTCTGACTGAAATAGCATTGTGAACGCTGTTTCAACGTTGTGATAACGTTACCGTACTTTCTGACATAATCTATGACCCGTACTATACTGTACTACAAAATCATGTATTATGCGCCTTATAAATCCATTCATTGATTGATTGATTGTCTCAAATTTGTTTCCTGGATGTGCCAAAATGTTTCCCGGCGGCTGCTACAAGCTGAGATAGAATTATAAATCTGAAATTTAGTAAAATACACAATACCTGCATACGAGGACAAGTGCTGACATCAAAACAACAACCAACACACTTAGAAAAACGACTGCTATCAAGTAACCGGTTGTGTCTTCCAATTCGTTTCCACTTCGAGTATTAGCTTAAGAAAAAAAACTATTTACTATTAAACAATACATTTACTATTATACAAAGCAATTTATATGAATACAAAATACAAACAAGTATATATA